AATTAGGCTTTCCATTATTCTTTCTATGATTTTGGCCAACCCAAAATTGAATATGAATTGAGGTTGAAACTTTTGAGTTATTGAGTAGGAATCAAGTTCGAAGTACAAGGATCAATGGACAAGGATATTGTTTAGTATTGTTATGTTGATAATATTATTTGTTAAATTCGGATTTTACATTTGGGAATTGAGATATTGTATGTATTTTCGTTTGAGATATTGTTTGCTAAATTGGATATGTATTGTGTTTTTGTTTTTATCAACTTTTTTTCATAAATGGTTTTTTTTCCAATTTGACGGCGGAACTTATGAAAAATAATTTATTTTCGTAGTTATTAACTACCTAAACCGAGTTAAATCGAGATACGAACCGAACTGAACCAACTTACATAGTTATGGTACGGTTAGAGCATGCCCAAAAAATTGATGGTTCGGTGGTGGTTCGGTAGTGGTTTTGACCGAACCATTGTCAACCTTAATCGGATGAAGGGGTGGATTGGATGCAAATACTTGGTGGTAGCGATGGGAATCAAGGTAGTGCCGGTTGTGGTGGGAAGGGGATGGTGAGAATTGAAGACTTTGTGATCTATTAATTAAATAATTTGTGATTAATAAATAATTATGATATAATAAAATGTATGATTTACAACTAAAATACGTGATGCGATCCACAATTGTGTTTTTATGACTGTGACTTTTGTGATTTGCAATTAGTATGTGATCTTGACAAAAAAAAAAAAAAAAAAAAAAAAAAATTTGTGTTATTGTGACCACGACCCAATTCATTAAATTAGAGATTAAATTTTCAATCAAATGTCACAAATGTGACCACCTGATTTTTTAAAAGATTTTATGAGTTTGTTATTTTTGAAAATATATGTTGAAACCTTTGTGGTCAATTATTTCATTTAGTTTCTATTGGTTTAAGAATTCCTAACCCAAATTGTGTGTTTTTCTTTGGGCTTATTTGAAGTTTGTTGAGGCTCGTTCAGTCACGTAGGATGAGGCTTTATTGATAGGGAGTGGTCTGCTTGGATTACCCCAATATTTTCTACGTGGAAAGCCCACTGTAGTGATTATTTTTGGTGGAAATTACAGATTCTAATAGATTAAAAATCACCATTTCATAAATAAGATGCAATGTTTAATATTTCACAAATCAGAATTTTTTTAATTAATTAATATATTTAAAAATTAATCTAATAAATAATAATTTCACACCCTAATTATTCTTTCATTTTCATTTCCCCCCACCCCCAATTCTCTCTCTCTCACGTCTCTTTCTCTCTCTCTCTCTCTGAACACTGCCTGGACCAGTGATGGATAACCGATGGTGGTTGTGAGGCTCACCGCCAGTCATCGTTGTCGCCCAGTCCTATCACTCACCCCTCAATCCATTTCACCCTAGAATGAGTGCAAATCGTCAGCCAAAAGAAGCATGAATCACAGCGAACAGATCTACCTTTGCTGCGCCGATGATGCACCAGAGATTTGGGTTTTTTTTTTTTTTTTGTGGTGGTGGTGGTGGTGGTGATAGTGTTGTGTGGTAGCGATTTTGTAGTAGTAGATGTGGTGGCGCAGTGAAATAAGTGCATTTGCGAAGCAGATCTACCAATGGAAGAGCTGCTCCATTGCACGTTGAAGAACTGGTGGCGAGGGTTTTTGGCGTCGAATTTGGTAGCGATCTAGCTCTGAACGACGAGATCTAGCGGCGACCTGTAGCTGCAGCGATTTTGCAGTGAACGACGGGATCTGGCCGCGATGTGCAGCAGAGACTATAATGAGAGGTTATGGTGGCGCGACAAAGGTTTTCTATTTTGTTCCAAATTTGCAAGGCTAGCAGTGAGGTGGTGGTGATGGCAGTGGTGGTCGTGGCTGTGGTGTGGTGACTGCGGGTGGTAGGGTTTGTGACCATTTTGGGTAGTGGTTGTTTTGGTTGTAGATTAGCAGCGACGGCGGTGGCGTGAGGCTACGGTGGCGAATGTACGATGGCGATGGGTTGTGGTGACAGTGGTGGATTGGCGGTGGTTGTAGTGGTTATACCGGTTTGGTTGATTGTGTCAAAGTAATTGGATACATGAAGTTACAGTTGGTCGTGACGGTTTGGTTGATTGTGACTATAATTGGATATGTGACCTAAAAATTGTGACTGTGACTTTCAATTGATACTCAAAAAAAAAAAATTGTTACTCACAATTGATGAAGTTGTGATCGAAAAATTTATCGTGACTAATAAATCCAATAATTTTACGCTGAAAATAATCCGTGACCTAAAAAATTCTGGATTCTGTGACTTAAAATTTTTTTGGATTCATGACTAAAAATATTCTGTGACCTATAAAATTTTCGATTTGTGACCGAGAAATAAGTTGCAACAAAAAATTTGATAAGTTGTGAATGAAATTTAATTTGTGACTAATTAACTAGATAACTGTGACTAAAAACTTTAATCTGTGACCGATAATTTATAATTTGTGACCGATAATTTTTTAATCCGTAACCGATAATTTATAATTTGTGACTGTATAAGAAGTTGTGATTTATAGTATTCGTGATTTGTGACCAATAAATAAATCGTGGCTTAAATTTTTTTTTTATTTGTGACCAATAAACAAAATGTGACCTATATATTTTCGAATTGTGATCGTAAAATAATTTGTGACAAAAAAATAATACGTGACAAACTAAATTGTTAATTTGTGACCAAATTATACAGATATGTGACCTAAATATATTTAATTAATAAATTAATTAATTAAATCATAAATAAATTCTAATAAAAATCTGATTTTTGAAGTTTGAAACTTGTTTTTCTTAATTATGAAAGGTGTGATATTTAAAATCTTACTTATGAAATTTTCCCTTTTTCTTCTCTTGGTATTAACAGAAATCAACTTAAGCCGGGTATCAAAAAAAAGAAATCAACTTAAGCCGGAATTAAAAATAGGAAAAATTCATAAATACCATATTTTAAGAATCAATGTCGAAAATATTAAATTTGTAGATTTCTTTAAAATATCAGGTCATAAATCGTATTTATCTTTTATGTATGAATTTATTTTAAAAAATATTTTGACTTAAGCCTGCTCACTTTTCAAAGTAAAGTGAATAAGTTATTCTCCAGCTATAGTGCCCGAATTTTCTTGATAGGGAGGATGATCGACTCTCACAATGGCAGGAGCCCCACTTTTTTTATGGACCCTTTTATTCACACGGGATTCACAGTATGTGAGAGGATGTCAACCATTCGAGTAAAAAAATTCGTACAAAGTAGCTAATTTCTAAGTTATTTCCTAGCAGACGGGCTTTCTCCTTTGAACAAACAGAAAAGAAAACTCACCCCCATGACTGTAAATTTGGCCACAATTTCAGCAACTTCATTTTTCTTTTTCTAGAACCAATTTTACCTTGTAGTCACAGTATCTTCATCAACTTTATTGGTAAAGCAGATTTTTGAACATTCATTTACAGAATATTGTTTTCAGCGACAATTTCGGGGGTGTTTTAGAGAATATTTTCTCGGTCATATACTCCCAATTTTTAAATGGAGCGTGACATAAGATTTTAGGATTGTGAACTGTGCACTAATTATAATTGAGCGCAACCTATAAGATTGTGTGATCGTGTTTGTCAGTCACAAAACTGTGACAATCTTATGCTGCATGTATGGTTAAAGAATATGATCAATGATATATGAGTTTGGAAAGTTAACATTCCCTTCAAAAATTGGGACTATGTTATGTGACTGTGACTGTGACATATAAATATAATTAACGCCTGGTTTTTGAATAAAACTAGGTATAATTGATTAATGATGACATTATTGTAAAAACATAATTTTTCTTATTTTTTTATTGCAAAATTGTAGGGGTGGCAAATGGGTCGACGCGAGATTTGGGCTCATTTTGAGACGAGTCGGATCAAGCTCACTTTTCTTTTACAAGTCAAGCAAGCTCAGCTATTGAGGACCACGACCAGGCTCATTTGGACTCGTAGGCAGGCTCATTTTTTGCTTAGTTTATTAATTTTTATTCCTTTTAAAAAATCATTTTTTTGATTTATTTCGTTAATTATTTAAAAAAGATATAAAAACAAGTCGGTTTGAGTATGGCTTAACTCGGCTCGGCCCAGACCCCCACAAGCCAAAGAGTTGAGCTGAACCAAGAAATTGGACACAAGTCAAGCTTGGATCTTAAAGGAACAAGTTGGCTAGTCTCAGATAATTGCCACCTCGAAAATTGTATTTCACTAATAAAGGATAAGAGTTGTCCTTCTTTTTCCTTTTTCTTTTTTTTTTAATTTTTTTTTTTTTTTAATGACATAACCCCATACTATCGTTAATCAATTGCTTTCTACAAAAGGTGAAATAAAAATGAATAATAAAGTTGGTCCATAAAAAAGAAAACACTAAAAAGAAAGTGTCCACGAGACAAACTCATGGACTATTTTACACTCTTGTCGGGCACAAAGTGACAAGGGTCACGACCAACCTCTTGAAGCAAGTTATTCATGTCTTGAAGAGGAGTCCGTCAATTCCACCACTAGTACAACCACAACCTCCCATTACTATCCCTAATCACCGCCACCATTCCAATATAACTCTCCCCTACCTTTACGCGACATTCGAGTTGAGCTTCAGCTCAGCCGAACTCGGTGGCCTCCTTGTGAGTTAACTAACATTCATCTTTTCTAATTCTTCTACTTTTTAACAATTCTCAATATCATCATAGGCATATTTTGAAATTAAAAAAAAGAAAAGAAAAGAAAAAAAAGAATGGTGTATGAGTTTTTTAGTATAGCTTGACTTATCAATTTTCTAATCAAACCGACCGGTCTAGTTGTTGCAACATAGATTATTTTACATTCTAAAAGAGAGTTTGCTAAGATAAAAAAATCAGATTGAACTAAAATTAGTAATAAAAATAATAGTTTTGACAAAACACTAATCCAGGAAAATGAAATTAGCCATCTTCATCATGTTTCCATCTTAAATAGACGAATTATATAAATTATATTTATTCATTCCATACACATGCAATATCTTCAAATTTATGTAAAATCGGGAAGTGTACATGTATGTCATGTATCAATCAAATGAATTTTGTTTCAATGGGGACTACTACTGTCATAAATTGTCTACATTTCTATCACTATTATTTTTGGCTTGAAAAGATAAAATGTATTTATTACAATTTACAATGACATTCCTGCCATTAAAAATACACCAATCAACCACTGAAATCGAATGGGTCTGCTATCAAATTGTCCCAAGCTAGTTTGATTATTGAATTCTCCACTTGGAGCTATATCCCCAGCAACTTCACATGCTCCAAAAGTCATATTTTCCTGCATAGGATAATTGTTCACATTAATAAATCATGAATTCTCCTACCTATAATATCTCCAACTCGTCAAAGTGTTCATATGGTAGAATTAATGTAATTATAGAATATGACTATGTTTGTCTCATATACGAACCGGTGCTACTATGTACCAAATAATGCCTTCTATTGCAAAAGCTTACCCTGCAAGAGGCTATGTTTGCACAACCACAAACTAGTTGACCATTAGCCGTATCTACGGCTTGAGGTGCACCTCCTCCGTCACTCCTCTGCAAGATTAAAGTATCCAAATATAAGTTCATACTAGAAAAGACGGGACGTGTCAGATCTTGGACGAGTTTGTCTGCATAGGACTTTCTTAAACAACAAAATACCCTGTAATAATCCACAGCAATGAAGTTAGGCCACCGTCTACCAGCTACTTCATAACATGTGTTCATCATGCTAATTAATGGGGCTGAATTGTGTCTGCAAGATTGGGTTAAACTTGGAGTACTTGGAAAATAATTCATCAGAACCAGTGACCGTGTGGTTGTATTCATTGCAGGTGATTCTGAACGATTTGGACACGATCCGGCTCTCATTCCGCTATCACCATCTGCAAGTTAAACCCAATTAAATTTTGCTGGTTGATAATTAGTATTCAGTGTATTCACCAAGATATATCTTAGCACAACGCGAATTAAGGCCCTATGTGACATTTAAACCATCAAAAGAAAGCCATCCATATTGTAAAGAGCCGTCTTGTTTGGACGTCTCAATGACCATCTTATAATGGATGCTTTCAATGACGTCCATTACGACCTTTGTAAAACTTTACACAGGGAGATCTTTCATATCTTTCAAGATCCATCCTACAATTTGGGGTCGATCTAATATAAATAGAGGTGTCCACAACATTGAAATGAATTTGCTTATAAATTTGCAGTAAAAGGGATTGAATTTCATTTCTTTTGTAAAAGAATCAGAATTGGACCAGTATATAACATAGGAAGTTCTTTTTTCCAGGCAAAATCCGTTTTGCATCATAAGAAGTTTTAGCTTCTGCTTCTCGAGAGACAAATGAGCTATTTATTTGCAAATTTTCAGAAATTTATTTCAATTTTGTAGCCATCATAGGAAATGTTATTTACATGTATAACGACTAGTTATTAGCGACAAAAATTACCTTGGTAATTTCATAGTGAATAAGAGATTAGAAGGGATGAAGAGATATATCTTAGCTTGTTTTGAGAAGGCTCACATTGATTTTCCACCATGTATCTCCATTGATAAGCAATGCGTTCAGAAGATTCCTTGGAAGCTCTAGAAGTGAAGACTACTAAACGTTGATTATTCTGAACCATGTCGTCAACTGTTGGCCAATCTTGGCCATTTCTCGGCATCCTTGACACAGGAAACCAGAATCTCATCAGGCCAGAGGCATTGAAAGCCCTTGTCAATCCATTAGGAGATCTAACGTAATCTTCAATGATAACGGTGATGATTTCAGAAGGGTTTGCTTCGAGAAAAACTCGAACCTCTGTCAAAACATTTGTGGCTGGTGTCTGCCAATCAGAATTCAGTCGATTAACATAAAAATGGACAGGCAATTAGCACAAGAGATCAGCTTAATTCGAGCTTCTATATTCAAATTCATTTTATTCTATTATAAAATATCAAGTCAACATTCCTTGAATACAAAATTTAAAAAAAAAAGTAGTATCTTCTAATAGCTTAAACTTCAAGAAGAGGCAACCAACATATCAGATTAGGCAGAGGTCCATTGTTGAAATCTCATTGTCGCCCATTTATACTCATTATGCACATGCTAGGCATTTTTATTGAAAAAGAATCCATCGTGTCCATGAGAAGGTGAGATGAACACAATTTAAATACATAACTGTGTTCATTTTGTAATGATTTGAGCATTTAAATGAAATTGTTAAACATTATCAGCAAAGCATCTATGCCCAATCCGAAAGTGAAATTGTATTTTCCTGTATATGCATTGATAGATAGTAACTAAATTCAAACAAATAAATAGTAGATTTAGAATAGAACAATTCAATTTAATGTAATGTCTAATAAATCCTCAACAACTTACGAAGGCTGTGTAGTTGTAGCAATTGCCACGAAATGAGTGGCATAACCAGACATCATTATTGAAGTCATACATATCAAGCATCAACCCTCTAACACCATCCTGCAGCAGAAAAAATGTCCATAGAGACCATTAGAGTAGAAAATATTTGAGGAAAAAATTGTTGTAGATGGAAGAATATGATCAATTTTCCAATACTAAATCAAGTAATATCTAAACAACGGAAAACGGATGCATAATTGACAGTCTATTGTACATTATCCCATGTTTTATAAGATGTATTAGACTGAACTTAGATATTATTAACAGCAAAAAAGACATTAAAATTTTGTCTAGGTAATCTTGTCCTGTGTTCGTTTTGATCATACCATAACATATTAATATTTGAACAACAGTAGTTCAAACTCTAATGTTTGGCCAATGTTGTAAACAGTTTGTGATCGGTTATCCAAACATTTCGTGATACAACAAGTGCTGCTTACTTTCCATCACTCATTTGTATCTATTTACAATCTAAACCGTTCCAATTTATCAATTTTGTTCTCACCATTTTGCTTGTGAGTTACCTGAGTCTGATTGAATAACACAATCTTTAGGAACTATAGGCCTCATCTGCTCTACGAGTCAAGAGACATACTAATAATTCTGAGACTAAAAATCAAGCCGGCATGTAGGAAATGTTAGAAGGTAAGAAAATTTAGTTGACTTGTACAGGAGTCTGTTGCTTAACACGTCGATAAAAGGTTTATTTCCAAATTTGCGGATGAACCTATATTTTCATGAATGACAGAATAACTAATTAAGCAAGGCTACATTCTTAACCGGTCAGTTACTCCTAAAGGCTAAACCCACTTGAAATCTATGAGATCCAAGGGAAAAAAATATCATAGCTAGCTAATTCTGGTAAGTGCCGGAAGTAAAAATAAAATCCAGCCTAATTATGCTGCCAGTTAGAACCATTAAATACTGCAGCTTTTGTGCGCGGAAGGCAATGGTGTCGTAGTAGGCCTCGCTAAAAGAGTCACGGTGAAACATGGCATGCCAAGCTTGGCCCGGATCACTACAAAACCTGGGCCATTCAAGCCCATACACGGGCCTCTCTACAGCCGAGCTTGCCGGTTCAATCCGATTGATACCACTCGATAACACTATATCCTTCCATGATTTAAGTAATACTTTAAGTTCATGTTTGACACAACTGGAATAAGATGTATAAAAAATTAGTATATATGTAATAAAAATTATTAAATTTATAGTCAACCATCCATTAATTTTTCATTCAAAAAAGAACGTCATTTACTATATCTTCCTTGTCCAGTTCAAACCCACCTCGAATCTCTATTTTATGTTAGACGGTCAATAGTGCAGATGAATAATTTTTGAATATAAAATAAAGCATCTTAATCTACCATAAAATTATCTACGATTGATATTAATTATAATTTTATATTAAATTTCTTATACATCGTAATTTGGTGTGCCTGGCATAGCCCAATGGCACTCCTCTTTTACCACAAAAATGTTTTGTTTTTCTTTAAAGTCAAGAAAGCTACAAACATTCATTCGTCATGTGAGAAAGCAAGCAATGTGAACAGAAACGCCGAAAGCCGACACACCACCAACCACCTCAAAGACACCCTGTTATGGTGTATAATGGCAAATATTTAAATTTTAATTTTAAAAAAAAAAGTGTATATACATATAAATAAATGTACGATGTATGTATAGATAGATAGAGAAAGAAAGAATCATTACATTGAGCTGATCGGTGATGGTGTCTTGCTGATTCGTGGTAGTTAAAACCAATCTTCCATTTGCTGCAGACCTTGCCCCCAATCTAGCAAACGAATTGTGCGTTGTTAGCCACGAGTACCGATTAAACGGTAACCCGTTCACCTAAATTCAAATTCAATGAAAAGAAAAAAAAATCAAATTTCGTCTTCAAAATATAAACACAAAAAATTGCACAGTTTTTAAATGAATTTATACAAATATGTTGAAATTTAATGGCAAACCCTGGAGAAAGGACTTAGAGGTTGAATTCGAGTGCAGCGCGGTCGAACATTGCCATTGGCGACGCAGGTCTCGCAATGCAGCCCGGAATCGCAGTTGTCGTTCGAAACGCACGTTTCTCCTTGCTGCAACAGAGATAAAATTTGAGATCCATACGAACATACGTGTATTTAAATTCTACAATCAAATAATTGAACTTAAAGTTGAATAAAACCGGCCGAGCTGTGGAGTAGCCAAAGAGAAGCAGCAAAAACAGAGCAGAAATGTAGAAATTCATCGTCAGTTCAGTTCAATTCAATTCTCTGCAAAACAGAATAATTGGATTAAGACTTCACAGAAGAATCCGTATTCTGCAGAATTATATATATCTTGTGAGTATTTGGGGATCAATACTTGCAATTTCGCGCTCTAAGATGAAATGACAGAAACTGGAAAGAAGAGAATAAGTATATACATGCGAAGCTTATTAATCCCCAGGCTGAAGCAATTAAACCTATCTGTACAAGCTTTTAGACGACGAGGCAAATTGAGTTTCAGAGACAAGGAAATATCTAAGTTAACCGTATCATTGTTCATCTAACTTTGTTTTTAATAAATAAAACGTGGAATTATTTCTTTAATTCCCTGGCAACTCTCTTCTCCAGGCTTTTTCTCTACTTTTAATTTTTTTATTGAGTGGGTAGTTATACTTACCCAATATGAAAAAATAAATTATTTACAATATGGCAACTTATATTTTATGAACAATATTCAACGACTGCAATAGTTATCATATATGACACCCTGTTATTTGAAGTCTTAATTTTCTATAATTCTGTTGTCTCAAATAACAAGCTAATACGTAAAATAATAGTTGCAGTCGCTAACTATGAATTGTATTATTCCTATTTTATTTACAAAAAATCTTCCACGTGTATCTTATAAACAAAATTGATTCCATCAAGTCAACTCTGTCCCAAAAACTTAAACGTGTAACAACTTAGAATTTATTTTTTTTTAAATGAAAATGAAAGTTTTAAAATTTGAATTAAGGAATGTACATTCAAAAATATAAATTTGTGATGAGTTACAAGAAGTTTTAGTCAATAAACTTTGCATTGTCTTAAGACACATCGATTTACTTCGAGCACTTTTTCTTCCTAGATTCGATATTTTGGTATTAGACATAAAGAAGTATACATGACAATATTATAGAAGTTATGTCGAAGAGAGGGTGGAGATTTGTGCTACAAGTGACGATGGATAAATCAAGCATAATTGGCTATAGCAAAGAAGTTTTGACTGTGACACTACGTTTTTTTGTGTAGCTAGAGATATCGGAACAATGAAGAATTTAGTTCAATTTAATTTAAATACCCAAAATAAAAAAATCTAACGTAAACATAATGGTATAAGAACTAAAATGAAAGGTTATATAAATATTTGGAGGAGATGGCAAGGATTGGTACATGGAAGAAGAACGAACTTTTGAAATTTTCTTTTCTTTTTAAATATTCTAACTTATAATAAATGGTACAATGATCTTCTTTAACACCAAAATTAAAAAAAAAAATGAGTGAATAAATAAATATATATATATATAATTTCTTCTTGAATGTAATTGATGATTTGAATTAGTGGAAATGTCGTGTGGGAACTTCTAACTGGGTAGCATGTTCAATCGTTGGTCCCACTCTAGTTGTTATTACTTGACTTTTTCATCACGTGACCTATTTTAGAACTAAAGTTTATATCAACTCACTTTATTTATTAAGAAATATTTAGAATTAAAGAGGAATTTTTTTAATTAAAAAAAATGATGGAGAAAAGGGATAATTTTGGATCAAACAAGGTGTAAAATAAATAACTTTTCTCCGTTATTAACTTGTCTCGAAAGTTAAAATTTCAACTTGTACGACAGCACGTAAAATCCCGTTTATGAAAACCCTAAAGAAAATTTCGTAATGTAGTTGGATGATGTTGTCTTGTTTGTTTCTCAAGGAAAAAAAGGTTAGCAATTCTTTCAAGTAACCAATTTTGATTCACAAAGGGATTGAAGTTACTTTTGAAATTGGATCACTTATATTCTTCACGTTCGCACTATGGCCAAGCCATTATCGCACGTTGACTAATTAGACTCAATAAATTAGACAAAATTAAGAAGAAATATAAGTTAAAATTTTAACAGTATAATGTGAAAACTAAGACTTCGATCCCACCATAATATTTAACTAAAATAAGTCAATTAAGAAAATGGAGACACTTGACATATATGTATAGTAGATGCAATGTTCATAATGGAATAAATTATACTTACCCAATTGCAATAATTACTATAGTAACTAATTCGTTCCTATCAGCTTGATAAAATATACATGTCGTTCATTAAATTAATAGCAAGTGATAATCTTATACATGTAATAAATAAACACATAAGAATAAAAATAATAATAATAATAATAGTCAATGGTCATTTCCAAAGTATTATTCTTATTCACCATAATAATTATAAAATACCTTGTCATGTTTGATCTTTTCAAAATTACGTTGAACAGTGTACATTGTACGAGGCATCACACAATCCGCTCAAATTTAGGGTATATTTGCCGTAGATTTTCTGAAATTTCATTTTGTGAAAACTGATGTTTTTTAAAAAGTAAGAAAAAAATCATGAATTCGTATAAAATTTATTTGCTGATAAAATGTACAGCTAAAAACGAATTTGGAGAAAAATGAAGTTTTAAAGATTGTATACCATTCAGGAGCTTACCGTTATTAAAATTTTAATTTTCCATTAGAAAAAGTTTAAGACTANAATGAAGTTTTAAAGATTGTATACCATTCAGGAGCTTACCGTTATTAAAATTTTAATTTTCCATTAGAAAAAGTTTAAGACTATCCAACCCACTTTACACCTCTATTAACAATGCAATGGAGAGTGAGCCTCCCATGAATATAACATATTTCCTGAGATTCTCAAAATTTTACTAGAAATATAGTTGGTCTAGACTGGACTTGTGGGCCAAATATTTCGGGTCAGGCAAGGCCAAACCCGCATTCGTGGATAGCTACATATAGATCTGGGCCTCAACATGCGGATCTGATTAACAACGTTCAGTGGAATAAAACATAAAATTCAATACAAGACTGTTGTATGCTTCTTTTATCACAAGAGATACTGGAATCATAGATAAGATTAAGCCAATTTACAAAAAGAGACAGTAACTTGTACCAATTAAATCATCATTACAGACGCAAGTCAATTTACAGAAATATTTCCCCTCGTTGGTCCACAAGAACAAGCTAGGCTAACATAATATTGCGTCGATCATTGTACGGTGAACATGCAAGATTGAGTGGGACGAGAAGTATAATAACAGAGACGATCACACCTGTAAAAGTTTCAATAATATGGGTACAAGTACGAACAAGGTAACAATGAGAATACCTGAGACATCACTCCTTTGCTGGCATGTATGTCTTCAAGTAAACAAGTACGATTTTAATTTATTTTTATCCCTTAATTCTGTCTAGAGTGTATGATCAACTCTCACCTTCGCCAAACCTAGTTTGGATAATCCAGCATTTTTTTTATACCTTTGCTGGTAAATCACCTGAACAGAACTGACGAAGAAATTGCTCGAGCTTGAGTCTCATTGTAACATCTCCATGTTCCTCTACAACCACCCTTTCGTTGTTGGGGAATTCCCCTGAAGATCCAGAGTCTGCCATAACGTCAAGGTTATCCTCTAAAGCTCCTTTCTCTTCAGTATCCTTCTTTGCTAAAATAAAGGAAGGAATATCTGGTCTGGAGTTTGAGTTACAGAGGTAGACGACTCTCTCTTTGTCTATTCCCTCAACAATCATCAAATCATCCATTTTTTCCAGAAGTCTTACAAGCTTCGATACGCCATATTCAGACAGACACAGATGCTTCCTGTACATTTTGTGGTATTCTCCAGTTAGCCGGAGTAGTGGTAAACATCCCCCTGACAATTCAAGTAACTTTACGAGTTGTCCCTTCAAAACGTTTAGATCACCCTGTGGTTTTAGGCCTTGTGGCTGTACACAGGTCACGTCATTTGGCTCACTAGAAGCAAGCTTACCTAATGAAACTTCATCCAAACCACAGCGTAGAGTTTGTGATCTTGAAGTCATAGGATTTTTGGGTAAAGATACTGAATTACCATTACATTCAGACATAGACTCTGATATCATCGAGCAATCATGGGTATTATAATAGCTTTTCGAGATGCCATTATATAATATTGCTTCTTCTTCTTCTTCATTTGGACTGTCTATACACCCGTTGATTGGAAATCCCAATGGAAAACCAACAACATCTGCACAAGGAATTGTGGTCTTAGCCCAGGGCACAGACCCTTTCCCACGAGCCACAGTAGACCAGTCCCATACAAACCTGCCAGCATTACTCAAAGCCAAAGAGACTCCTGTCCTAGACGGAATAACAAGGATAATGGTGTATCCACGTTGACCTAGAATATGAAGGGCAGGAGCAAAATCTACGTCTCCCGATATCAACAGGATTGATGAGGGTGGGCGATTATCAAGAGCAAAAAGGAACATGTCGACCAAGATTGCCTTGTCTGCTGCATCCTTTCTCCCATTGGGTACGTCTACGAGTTTGACACCTGTCCTCTGGTATCCCTCTCTTAGTCGCTTTGGAATTGCATTAAAATCCCCATATGCTGAAAACATTGTCACTGCTCCATCAATTATAGGATGGGACCGTAAAGCCATCCTAATATTACCGGCCACATCCTCCGGACGCACGTCACTTGGTACAGGGCAGTTCTCAATGTCCCAAAGGATGGCAACCGGACCCTGTAAAGAGCTTCGGATTTGCCATGAGGAAGATGGAAAGGAATTTATGTTAAACTTTGACATGTGTTTCTCCCTTTTCTCCTAGTGCCCTGTTGGCAATGCTGAAGCAGTAGTATTTAAGTTTGACAGAATTGTTTTCTCAAAAACTTCAGCAATAACTGGATTCCTGAAATAGAGGAAGATGGTATGAATAACCTAAACAAACCGTATAAGTTAAATACTAATAACGAAAGAAGAAGTAACCGATTGCTTATTAATTCACAAATAGAACTCTTATTTCTATTGTCAAACTAATTTAATAGTTACTATTCCAAAAAGCTTTAGCATGTATGGCAAATGCGTCAAGTCTAAAATGTAAATTAGCATAATCACCACAAAAATAAGTTTTGCCAGTAAGAAGATTAACCTCGAAAATAATGTTTGGCATAGTAAGTTGAGATCAATCAAACAACGACAAATGCTGGATATATATACCCGAAGCTAAAATCTAGTTGATTTTATCAAAATTCCCATAAATAAATAAATAAACAGAACTTGAATAGGGTTCTACAAATAACATTACCAGCAGCTAACAAGAAAATTGCATAAAATAAAATAAAATAAAAAATAAACCCCCAATAGATGAAAACACAAACCCTTGATCAACACTAACTGTGAAGATTAATATGTTAAAACATGGTAATTATTATCTAATCCGAACAGGCTTATTCATATTTGTTGGAAGATATCTAATTCCCCTACCAAACTATATAGACGATCTTCCTACTCTACATCAACAATAAAAAATAAAAAAAAATCAAAAAATATTCCCAGAAATGAAGCAATATATATAGATCTAATGCCCACTTTCCAAAATCAAGAAAAAACAAAAACCCATGGTTTGTTGCATACACAGAATCTTGTAGAGAGAAAAATCGATTACCTGCTTGAAGGGGAAATGAATTCTTAGATAGTTAGTAAAGAGAGAAAACAGATGACCTGGTTGAAGGGGAAAGGAATTCTTAAATACTTGCAAAGGGCAAGAAGGAATTACTTATATATATAGAGTAAAAGAGATTGTCCTAAATCATGTTTTAACGAGGACAAACCGCGTTGGGCACGGCCGAAACGCGATAATGGGAGCAGAGTATTTCTGAGAAAGTGATGATAGAACGAGGAAGAACAAAATAGAAACGAATGGACTTCCCAAGTACCCAAGGACAGTCTCTTAGAATTAAATATCTTTTTCTTTTCTTTTCTTGTCTATCCTTTTCTCATTTT